CGCCCCCGACCCCAGCCCCGTTACCTCCGCTCCCCTCCGGCTCGCCCACCGCGGGGACCGCGGCGCCTCCGAGAGCCCTGCCGCAGGGCCGCGTCGGGCCCGGGGCCGCCGTCCGCAGGAAACCCGGCCGGACACCTGTGGAGACAGAGCCTGCTGCGCTGCGCCCTCCTCGCCGTCCCGCCCTACCCGCCCTGGCTGGGGCCCCGCGGCGGCTCACCCGCGCTCAACAGCCGGGTCACAGCGGACACGGAAGCCGCCATGGCGGGCGCGTGGACAGACGCCTCAGAGACGGCTCCTCCCCTCTGGCCCAGAGTCGCCGCCGCCGCCTCCGCGCGGGGCCACAGCTCCCCTGCAGGCTGGGAGGACCGAGAGGCGCTGCGCGGCTCCCAGGCCCCGCCCCCTCAGGCCCCGCCCTCTCAGGCCCCGCCCCTCTCCCAGGCCCCGCCCCTCCCCTCCCGAGCGCTGCCTGGATCCCGGAGAGGCTGTGTTCCGTCAGCGTTAGAGCCTCACTTTCTCGGTGTGCTACCGGGTGGTCCTGCAGCCCCTCGGTTTTCTGTTCTTGACCTTGAGTTACGTTTGCCCCGAGGTCGCCCGCCCCTGTCTTTTGGGACAAGCCTGTGGCTGGCCAAGGGTCCCCGCAATGTGCTGGGGCTCGGGGCCTCTCCACAGGACGCTCCTCCTAGTACCTCCTCTGCGCGAAGGTTCTAGACCTTCCAGGGAAGGGCCTTTGTCCCTTGGCGCTGTGCCATCAAGAGCTGGACCTCCCCCGGTCACGTGACGCTGTCGCCTAGCAACGAGAACCAAGCTGCAGCCTGGGCTGAGCAGAGCTGGTTTGCTGCCAGAGCCCAATGTCCGAGGAAGGCCCCCAGGAGTGTGCAGAGCCTGCGGCGCCCAAGGCCGAGGCGCCCCCGGAGAGAACCAGCGACTACTACCGCGTGAGCGAACGCCTGCCCGTCCGGTTCAACAACCCGGGGTGGTTTCGGGGCTACAGGTGAGGTCCCGTGGTGGTGGGGGAGTGTCACAGCATGCGGCCACAGGCCCCTCTCCGTCTGCACTGGCACGGTGTGGCTTCCTCACGCTGGCACTCAGACGTAGAGGGACCTCTTGACCGGCTGGGTCTGGAAGCTGGCTCTGGCTCCTGGCTGTATCTCACGTGCCGAGGCCCTGCGGTGGTGGCTGGGGGCTGCCCGAGTCCTGGGCTCGCCTTAGCATAATGGCCCACCCTGCAGAAGCAGGGCCTTCCGCCAGCAGGGAAGCTGGGGGGGCAGCCCCCTGGGACCTGGACGGTCAGCCCGCAGGGATGGGAGCCCATATCTGTGCCGCGCCACCAGCCCGGGACATCCTTCTCCTTGGGGACGTCACCAGCCAGGGCTCCAGCCAGTAAATGCTGCTGTGGCGTGAGCACTCAGGGTCAGTGCGTGGGAGAACACGTGCGCGCGCTTCTCCTCCACAGAGCCACAGCCGCTGCCTCTGTGTACAGGACCAGTAACCAGGCCTACGGGAGCAGAGCGCCCACCGTGCACGAGATGCCGGTATGTGGGAAGCCAGTGGGTGGTTCAGCACAGAGGAGGAGCCCTGGAGTGGGGAAAGGGCAGCAGCGTGAAGGCAAGGGGGGAGAGCCGAGGACCCCAATTCCAGCATCGCAGAGGGGAGGCGCCTCACAGGGTGTTGCAACAGGGCAGAGCAGAAAGAGATGAACAAACACAGGTAGAGGTGAAGTGCTTTAAAGAATGGGAAAAGTACACATAGACTTGCGTCTGTGTGGCCCTTGCTTCCGTGTATACAACCACACAAACGACCTTCACACATGCACGCAGCTCTCACACCCACAACCTTCACACATGCACACAACCACTTCTCTCAACCTAAGCCAACCAGCTTGAGGAACATGAATGGCTCCCATCTTTCCTGTGAATCAAACTTTGTTTTATGGGCTGCTCACTGTGCCCAAGAGGCTGCACCTGTTGAGGGCCGAGGTGTCGGAGATGGTGGCGCCTGGGGCTCCTGCAGACTCTGCTTATGCCCCGAGGCAGTCTTCCTCCCTCCCCATTGGTACAGGGGACACACCATTTGGGCCAGCACAGCACCCCAGGCCACTAAGGCCATCCAAGTTAGGGTGAGAATGTTATAAGGAGTTCCCCTAACTTCATCATTTTCAAGAATTTGGTGATTGATATTTAGTTGTGTTGGGTGATAGAGCTCTTCTTCATCAAAAAATTCTTCTGGTGGTCTTGGGGGTGGAATTCAGCAATACAGCTCTTGCCTAGCATGTGAGGGGGAGCCCCTCTGGAGTCAACCCCCCTCATAATTCTCTCTCTCTCTCTCTCTCTCTCTCTCTCTCTCTCTCTCTCTCTCATGCCCACACAATGTGACATCTCTAGAGTCCTTCCAGAATCAAGGGTTCTTCTGACCCTTCCCTGGGGATTCAGGCCTTTGAATGAAATGACAGGTGAAAATGGGCCCAGATGTTTCTGTTCTGAGTAGAGTGGGGGCTCCGTATTCACCGGTGTAGGGGGCAAGGGCAGGTGAGGCAGGAGGACATCAGAGACACGCTTCGAAGCAGACTCTTCCTACTGCTCATCTATCTCGCCTGGACTTGGCTCTTCAGGTTCTTGACCAAATGTGGGTAGATGCGGGATTCTAGGAGCAGCTATCAGCTGGGAAAAGCAGACCTAGGGTCACTCTAGCCTTGACCCCAGGTTAGTGCTCTCCCTCTTTCTCTCTCATGATCAGGTGTGGAAAAGCCACACCGGCTGGCTCCAGAGCTGTCTGTGGAGTGGCAGCGAGAAGGCACCATTAATGGTTTTGTTAATGGTTTTCCCTACATGGCAGTCAGGGGCAAACTGGTCCGTTTTGCCCGCCCTGGCTTCTTAGACTCCTACAGACGGAGATGGTCTTCTCCTTCACGTTGCAAATTCTCATTCTTCTCATTCCCAGCGTACCCAGCTGAGTTCAACAGTATGCTCATCGGGTGTCACTCATCCCAGCGTCTGCCTTCTCTTCCAGAAAGTGTTTTACTCAAGTTCAAGTCAGTTTTCCAGACAGCTCTCAGCTAGTGGAATGTTCCGGGATAATACGTTCAACGTCAGCATGGAGAAGAGCGTCGTAACGGGCCCGGACAACTACATCACCCCCTGCGACAGGCTTAACTTCCACCCCAGTTACAATGTCAACAAGCCGTCCATCTGCGACTAGGCGGGACATCCCTCCGGGAGTCTTCTCCAGCCGTTTCTCTGTTGCAAATGATTTGCCCAATTGTAAAGGTACACGTTTTTCACTGTTTCCTCTGAAAATATTTTCCTCCCTGGAATAGAACAACATGCAAATACTGGGTTGTGCGCAAGACCTTCCCTGTTTTACGTCTAAGATGCACATAGAAAAGAGATGTTAATGGCTTGGCTTTCCGTTACGAATGCCACCATGGCCTGAATGTCCAGCGGTCCTGACATTTGCATCCTGTGGCCATGGCCTAGAAGCAGGGGCTGCACAGCAGCCCCCCTGCGTCGGCCTCCAGGGGCCACTGCTGCACAGGTGCCCGACTGTCTCAGGCAGGACCTGCGCTGACACCGTAGTCCCCCTCAGAGCATGGGTGGCCGGTGAGATGTGCTGTATGGGACAGGAAGAGCGGATACCTTGTCAGAGCTCAAGAAGGTGGCCCTGCCTGTGATCTAGGTATAAATGGGGTGGGGAGATAGCTCAGTGGCATAAGCACCAGCCTGGCAAGCACAAGGTCCTGAGTTCAATTCTTGATACCAAAACAAAAAACCAAAAACCCAAAAATAAATGGGTAGTGACAAGTGTACAGCTCCCGGCCACAGATTGGGAGGGGACAGAAGCACTGCACAAGGCTGACCAATGCCAGCCTCCATGGTGATGTGGACATGGAGGTGGCCATCTGTGTTTATGTCAATAGAGAGGGCTGGGGAGACAGCTCAACAGACTGAGCGCCTGCTCAGGCAAGCACAGGGGCTGGGTTTTGGTCCCTGGCACCACATGCTGCACCACCCTACCTCCTGGGCGCGCTGAGCTGGCCACCAAGACCGGGCGTGGTGGTGGCGCATGTGTGTAATCCCAGCGCTGGGGAGGCTGAAAACAGGAGGATCGCTATGAGTCCAAGCTGTGTAGTGAGGCCCTGTATCAAATACATTTAAAAAAAAAAGTCAATAAATTTTGAAAGAAAGCAGGCAAGGAATAACTAATAATTTTCTTGGGTGGGGTAACAGCTCCATGAAGTAGATTTTCATCTCTGGGCAGTCCTAAATCAGTGTGTGCCACAAGGCAAAGGTCATCAATAAGAAAAGGACTTTCTGCTGCAGGATACAGCTTTCAGATATAGTCTTTTTTTAAAATTTTAACTCTATGAGCGTAAGATGACAGGAAATTTGGAAAGTATTGAAACTAGAAAAAAGAAGTCATTCCTCTGTGCTAGCGATGATATCTTGTGTACAGGAATTTTTCTCCAGAGGTTCTACTCACTTATGAATTAGGGAGGAAGTTAGCCGTCACCACTGGTTATTTCTTCAGTATAAACTTAGTGCTGCTGTTAATGCGCACAAGTAAGCGCTTGGCAGCAATTCGGAGTGGAAATGATTTCCAGAGAAAATCAATGAGGCTGATATAAAAGGTACAGAGCTGAGCTGAAGCCAGGATCTACACACTGTCTTTCTTTTGAGCCAGGAAGCCTGCAGTCCACACATCAAACTGCAGAAAAGTTCCTGCAGCCCTTAAAAATACCAAGATGCTTGTGCCCGTTCTGTTTAGCTTCACATGTTTAGCTTCAGGCATGGGGACAGAAAGGGTTCATCAGCCGGGTCTCCCTGGCGCTGACAAGAGCAGGCTCCTTGTCCCTCATGAATGACGCCGAGCAGCAGGTTGGCAGCTCTTGGGTCGGCAGTGCCATCAGGCGGATGACGGGTTTTCTCCAGCTGTTGTCCTGCTGTGAGGAGACAGTCACTGTTGCTGAAGCAACACGCTGGTCTGAGGGCCCCGGCATGAGGGGCAGGGTCCCCAGAGCCCCCAGGCTGAGGCGCCAGCAGGGGCCAGGCTGAAGCCCCCATCTGCACAGAAGACGGGTGGCTGCCCAGATGCCGAGCTCGCCGTGGGCTCTCTGGGGTTTCGGGATGCTGGCGGTGGTGGTGTGAGGAAACTCGTTTGTCACGGCCACTGAGATGCTGTTTCTGTGCCAGCCTCTGTTCTCGTTGGCTAAGTCACAGTACTCAGGGTGGGTGATTTACAAGAGGTTTATTTGGTTCTCACTTCTGGAGGCGGGAGATTCCTGTGCCTGGTGCCAGCCTCCGCTTGGCCCGGGCAAGGGCTTCCCTGCTGCACGCTGCCGTGGCGCAGAGCATGGCGGGTGAGGCTGGGCTAGCTTGGGACTCTGCCTCTCCTTAGGAGACTACTGCTGCCCTCCTGGGGCTACACCCTCCATGAGGTCAGAGCCGGTAACACATGAATTGAGGACATTTCCAACACATGAAGAAAGCGCTGGGCACAGCTGACCTTGTCATTGGCCCTGAACCCAACAGGAGGCTGAGGTCTCCACCCTGGCCAGAGCTGACTTAGTGGGCAGGTCATGGAGACAAACACTCGTGGGCCACGTGGCAGATAGGCAGCGCCAGGGGTGGGGACGCCAGTGTGATCGGGCTCGTGTCCAGTTCATGAAACAGTGACTGCACAGAGTCCCTGCCCACTTATCCAGGTTAGCTACTATTGAGTGCAGGAAAAGAGGGTTGGGGTCCCCCAGGCCCGGAGGGGCAGATATCAGGGCAGCCAAACCTCCCAGGGGATAGTGAAGCCTGGCCTAAGGCATCAGTGAGGATGTCCCCGGCAGCTGCAGTGACCAGCAGGAGGTCGTGGTGGTGACACACACCTCTTCTCTCAGACGAACATGCCACACCCTGGGGCCTCAGTGGGTTGTCCTTGACATGAGGGGGGCTTGCTGCAGCCTGCACTGCTCTGAGGGCCCTCCGTTCAGAGGATCAGCAACTTGGGAGGACCAGGTAACAGGCCCCCTGGTTTGGGGGAGCCTGGAGAAGTGGCTTCCACAGGTAGGGTGAGGGGATGGAAGCCGAGGGGCCCTGGGCACTAAGCTTGCTGTGCTGCAGGCTGCAGCTCCCCTTTGCCCTCGGTCACCAGGGCTGATGACCTGGGGGATCAGCACGCTACACCGGCCGCCTGCTCACGTAGACACAGTGGACGGAGCACAGAAGCAGATTTGTGGGTGGTGCTGGATTTATTAATTAAAAAAAACCAATCAGTTCTTATGTACAAAACAAGTTGATTTTTTTCCAAGGGATAAAAGCACTCTTTACAAAATTAAAGTCACATCATGGGTTATGTGGAACCGCTGTTCTTCCCAGAAGCACTTAAGTGAACAAATATGCCACAACAAACCTGTCACAAGTACAAGACGGCTCAGGACAGTGAAGGACAGCAGGGGCGTGAGTCTGAGTTTGGGCAAGGACTGAATTATGCTGGGGTATACGGGGTCAGAGGATCCACTCCTATGCTACAGCACCAACCAAACTCAGCTACAAAGCAGACCACGCCACGGCTGAACTGCCACGCTCAGGGTGAGCGACAACCAGTGTGGATGTGACCACTGCTGTCCATGGCGGCTTCTGTCCCCAGAGAAGCCATGGGCCCCTCAGTGCCTCAGGAAAGAAGCCCAGGAAGTCAGGGACCCCAACACCAAGGACAAACGCCACTGCCTGGGAGTGGCATTGGGCCTTTGGGTGCTGCCCAAGGGCGCAGCCACAGAGAGCCACATCCCCAACTGGGCGCCAGGTATGTGGGGAGGCCTGTCCCCAGCGGGCTTTCCACCAGCCTGCAGAGGTGGCTGAGGCCTTTGGGGACCAAGCACCCAAGAGTTGTGCTTATTCACTCACATGTACAAATCAACAGGACAGTCACGACGCACGTGCGCTGCCACCTCTCAGAACCACGGCTACAATGGAGAGCAGCGGGGCTTGGCGGGGCAGCCTGGTCGAGATGCTCAAAGCATCTGGCGACCAATGAGCCAGACCCAGGACCAGCACAGGCTCTGGGCCCGGTTGCGGGGCGAGCACTGCTGGGGTCTCAGCTGACTGCGCACAGCAGGGAGGACGCTCGCTGGCCGTTGTGCTTTCCAAGGCTGTGACTGCAGTTTTCAGAGGCAGTGTGCTGGCTGCTGCCCATCGGGCCACCCTTCAGCGCTGTCCCAGAAGCTTCCCCGGTCCAGGACAGAGTGGCCGCCACCTTCCAGGCTTTGGGTCCACGTGGCAAGCAGCCCGCAAGAAGCAGGCCTCATCTGTGGTCCTAGCGGCGGCAGAACCACCAAGCATCTGCTCATCTACAGCTCATGTGCCAAACACAGAAAACTTGGGTTACAATAGCGGACAACAATATGTTTCAAAAAATATTTTTACAGCACTTTAAATATTTTACAAAAAGCTACAAAATCATATGTACTAGGATACATCTGTTAAATAAAACCATCCGTTTCAGTGTTACAGTACACATGTACAGGGGGGCTGTGTGCGAGGGCCTCTGGTTTGCCCTCTGTGACTGGACTACCTACACACACACGCACACACACACACACACACACACACACACACACACACAAATACACACATCTGTACACCCACTGCTGCCCATGAGTGACCAGAACCAGGACACCTATCACAACTTGAGGACTCTGCCCTTCACCACAGAGCTGCCGCCCCCGTCCTCCACAGAAGTGTCACTGAATTCACTGGCATCACTGCCTAAGGCCTCCTGGTCCTGGTCGTCCCTATCAATGACCCTGTGTGGATACCTCAGGTCTAAAATGTTTTCCTCGGAGCCCGAGTTCTTTTTATGCAAACCGAGCCCAGCCTGGGCCTTTCTGTTGGGCCACTGCCCGCCGCCATCCTTCTTTGTGAGCAGGTGTGGGCTTCCAAACACAGGGCTGGGGCCAGACGGGGTCTCTCTGAAGGTGGAGAAGGAGGGCCCCTGCAGAGGTAGGCCCAAGGGGCTGCTGAAGAGCCCGGCCTGGGTGCCCCCCCAGGGTGCGCTCTTTCCAAAGTGAAACAACTGTGTGGACAGCAGCGAAGAGAAGCCGGGGAAGGTCGGGCCCTTCCTGGGGTCCGAGGAGAGGCTGGGTGGGCTCCCGGCCTGCACCTCAGCGGCCCTCTCTCTCTCAGCCCCGAGGCCCCCGGTCCAGGCCGGGCCTCGACCGTCTGAGTTCAGCACCCACGGGCTGGGCAACCGGGTCTGGTGGGCAGGGTCGCCCCAGGGGAGAGGGAGGTCAACCTGGAGTCCTGGCCCAGGGGCCAGCAAGCTCTGACTGCCATGGTTCACGTGGAAAGTGCCCCCGCTGCTTCTGGCCTCAGTGGCTGCTCTGGCACCACTGGGCAGCTGACCAAAGACACCATCTGCAGCGGCAGGCTCGGCCCCTCGCGGGCTCTGGTCTTTGTGGCCGTAGATGTTTCTTCGGCTCACCTGGGAACCTCTGGCAGAGACGGCCCCGCTGGAGCTCTTGGGCAGTGCCGGCTCACATCCGCCCAGCGCAGCAGCGGCCCGAGGAGCGCTCTCCACGCGGGGGGTACTCTTCCCTCCCGGAATGAAGAGGCTGGCAGAGCCCTGCCCCCCAGCTCTTTCTGTAGCCCGTGGTCCTTCCACAGGCTGGGGGCCACCCCTGGCCCTCTGGCTCCGTGTGCACACGCCACGCTGCAGGGTGGGGGTCAGCTCCTTCCTGCACAGCACCTCCGGCCTGGCCGGACCCTCAGTTCCCAGGGTGGTGGCGGCCACCCCTTGAATTTCAGCAGCGCTTGCCGACTCCTTGGCCTTTTCTGCCAAAAACTTCTGAATCTCCAGCTCGATGCTATCGTCACTGTCCACTGAGCTGTCCTCAGATAGGGAGCTGGTGCTGCGGGTGGAGCAGGCGGTGTCTGGAGCCCCCATCTCTGTGGAGAACACAAGCCCCTCTGGGCCCCTCCCTTGCGGGAAGGCAGGGGTCACATCTTTGTCCCCCAGGCTGGCCGGCTTTATGATCTCTGCTGTGCTGCTGAAGACACCCGGCGGTCTCTGTGGGCCATCCTGGCTGTCCCGGCCAGACTTGGACAGGCAGCTCCGCAGTGCCCGTGGGCTTCTGTCTTTCCAGTGTCCAGGGAGGCCGTGCATTCGATCCACGAACCGTGTCTCGGTGGTGCTGAACCTGACTTTCTTCTTGGCTCGGGGGTCCCTGCCCCTCTTCTTGAGCTTCCGCTTGGACCGTAACAGGTCCTTGATGGCGGTGTCCAGGTCCGCATCGCTGTCCAGTGAGCTGCTCTTGTCCTCTGAGCTCTCTTTCTCACCAACACTCTGTCCCTCGTCTGCCTTCCCAACACCCTTGGGGCTCTGAGACAGGGGTGTGTCACCAAGCCCCACAGTCCTGGGGGCCACAAGCTGGGCCCGGGCCTCCCCCTCCCTCCTGGGCACCTCACCGGCTTCGCCCTGGCTGGGCTGGGCCCTGCTCTGCCCATGCTCGCCATCCTGGGCGCTTGCGCCCACTTCCCTCGTCTTCTTGGGTGTGGACGGCTTCACAGTGTTGCTGCCTCCTTTCCGTTTCCTTTTGCAGCTTGGGGACAGGTCTAATGCCTTGGTAGATGCAGGGGCCTTGGCGTCACCAGCCTGGCTGCCGGGGCCGGGCAGCAGCAGCGGGCCCTGTGCAGGCGGAGGGCAGCTTTCGGCCCTGGCCAGCACACTCCCGGACCGTGCCCTGAGAGCCAGAAACGTCTGGATCTCCTGCTCGATGCTGTCGTCACTGTCCACAGCGCTGCTGTCACCATCGAGGCCGGAAGGCACGTCGGGGGAGTGCAAGTGTGTGCTCGCAGAGGGAGGCCCGCCGCTGACCTCCACAGGGGCTGGCAGGATGGTTTTGGAAATGTCCAGGATGGCTTCAGCACATATCAGCTCAGCAGGGGTGTCTGCCCGGCATGATACCCGTTCCACACACTCGTTCCTGGCGATGGTGTTCACAGGAGGTGCAGAGGCTTTGACATCCTTCAGGAGCTTGGAGGAGTGGTCTGGGTCAAGGACCCCCGACCCAGGATCCGCCACTCTCAGGGCTACCGGCTTCTTCTTGCTCGGGGCTCTCCGGTGGGTTTCAGGCAATGAACTTTTCATGCCGCTGCTTGAGCTGCCTGCAGGAAGGTCGGGCGCCGTCTCCTCTCTGAGCTGGGACCTCAGCAGCAGGTCCCCACTGGCCTCCTTCCGGGTCTTCTCCAGCTGGTACAGCTGGATGGCCTCCTCAATGCCGTCGTCACTGCTGGAGTCCGATGTCTCATGCTCCGGGGCTGGGCTCCGCACCTGCCTGCCCCTCCGCCCGGCACCTGTGCTCCTCCTCACCCCACCTTTACTGTGTGCTGGGTCTAGTTTGGGGACAACCAGATTCACACTGCCCACGGTCTCTGGCTCGGGGGTGGCCTTAGGCCTGAGGCCCCTGGGCTGGGTGCTCACCTTCGTTAGCCGGGGAGGCTTGCGGAAGACAAACTCCTTAGCAGTTCCCCTCAGATCCTGCTGTGGGGCTGCCTTGATGGGGGGCTCCCTGTGGGGTCTCAGCACTGCTCTGGCTGCGTTTTCATTTGGGTCTGGGCTTTTGTCCATAGATGCATCACATTTGGGGTTTTCATGTTGCCTCTTCTTGTGCAGAAACTGTTCAATCTCCGCCCGGATGCTCTGTTCAAAGGAGTCCTCACTGCTCACGCTAGTGGGGGAGGCAGAACCCTGGTCCTCGCTGGTCCCCACAGAGTGGCCAGAAACACTGCCACACACAGGGGCAAGTTTTGAGGGACCCAGGGCAGGTGGGGTGCTGCTTTGGGAAGGCTCCAGTTTGCATCTGCTGCCCCCAGCTGAGACCCTGCCAGGCTGGGTGCCCCCAGACGCAGGCTGCAGGGCTCCGCTCCTGGCCTTCAGGTACTCCTGGATGGCCTCCTCGATGTCCCTGTCCACGGAGTCATCACTGTCTGAGTCCAGCACCAGGGGGCCCAAGTCTGCGGCTGCTTCCTCTCCTGGGGGGTCACCAGGGGCAGCGAGGCCACAGGCGGCGAACGCAGGGGGCTGCTCTTTGCACGTGGCGGGGCTGGTGGCCAGCCTGGCATCGCGGCACCTCTCTGCCTTCTGGCTTCTCTGCGCAGGGTGCTCATCGCTCATGCCCAGGGGCACCGCGTCGTGCTGCTGCAGTGTGCTGATGAGCATCTGCACCTTGGCGCTCACCGCGGCTCTGGCAACGTCCTCTTTCGATTCCGAGAAGCACCCGGGAAACCTAAAGCTCCCAGGCGGGCCGAAGGCCTCCCATTTGGACTGGAGCGTGACCGCTGGAGGGGCGTTCATGAGAAACATCCTAGCGAGTGTGGCAGGTGCGCAGGGAGGCACTGCTTTACTTCTCGGCCCTTTTCATATCCTGGGAAGAAAGAAAGCGCAGGACACACGTCTAAGCAGTCAGACGTGGCAGCACGCATCACGTACGGCCATGGAGGAGCAGCCTCCCACGGCTCACAGCGTCCCGGGACCCTGGTGTCCTGGCTCAAACTTCCCACGCTTCCTGGGCTCCGTGGCCTCCAGCGTGAGGGGACTTCCTCCCCCTGAAGAAGCCCAGTGTTTCGAGCCTGGGGCTGCGCCCACACTGAGCTCGCACTGCCCTTCCCAGCTCTTCCTGTCCCCTCTGAGCTTGCATCTTCTCCATGAGAGGAGAAAAGAGGCTTTTTTTTTTTTTTTTTTAATCTGCAAAGGCTGTTGGGAGGAGCCATCTTGACAGAGTCTGCGAATGCTTCTCTGCCTTTGGAAAAGAACGGCTCTTAGCAAATCCAGCGCAAGCACGACTGCACAAGCGGCTTCATTCCTGAGGAGACCAGCACGCTCTGGGAACAAAACCTTACCACGTGAACAACTCAAAACTTACTTCCTCCAAAGCCACGTTGACAGGGCCTTTGTATATGAACATGTCAACCCGACCACGTTTTTATTTTAATCTAACGAGCACAGAAGTTGTCCCGGACGCTGTCGCATGCTCATGGCATGCTGTGTGCTCACTCCCCGGCTTCTGCTTGAGAACTGTCCTAGGCAGGTGGGGTCACAGCTGGCCCTTATAGGAAAGCTCTGAGAACTACCACTTTGAGGGGGCACAAAGTAGATGCCACACGGTACAGTGCCACTTGCACTGTACACCTGTTAATTAGCCATAGACTCCTGTGAAGCCCATCCTGCTACCCCCCAAATTGGAGTTCAGAGGTAAGATGGCACCAAAGGCCGACAATGCAGAGAACTAGCCCTCCCGCATCATGGGGCCAGCGAGGTGTGACCAGCAGCTTCCTTCGTGGTGCTTACAGGACTTGCTCCTGTCCCGATGGGGCGGGGCTGGCCACATAGGGGCAGACACCCTCAATGGTGGTATCGTGCCTACAATTAGAGTGGAACATACTCCTAAGTGACTATACTCAGACAGTGAAATGAAAACGTAAGAATTTAATGCCATTACTTGTGCTCCTCTTCCGGTCCTGGCTCACGGTCCAGCAGGCTGCAAGGATGAGGTCTGTGGTACCCTGCTGACACGCTTCTCCGGCATCCTATGTGCTTTCCCGGTATCCTATGCAGGCAGGTTTCTGACTGTTGGAATCAGAGAGAATGAGGCATACCCAAGTCAGAGACTGAAGCTGTGGCTAGTGTTTCTAAAGAGAAAGACCTATTGTTAACATCACATCTCACAATTAAATTATGGAAGTACTGCGCATTAGTCACAGCTCATAAGTTCTTTTTTAAAATGTATTTTGTGCCGGGTCTCATTACTCACCTCCGACTTGTAGTGGTCCTCCTGTTTTCAGCCAACCCTGCGCTGGGATTATAGGCATGCGCCACCCTGCCTGGACTGGTGGCCAGCTTGGCACACACAGGGGTGGGGCCAGTGCTGGCAGAGTGTGTGGTGCCAGGGTTCAAAGCCCGGTCCCTGCGCATGCCTAAGCAAGTGCTTAGTCCGCTGAGCTATCTCACCGGCCCTCATTTATAACTCTTCAGTCTGCAGCTGAGGTGCTTTGGGGAGGGACTGTGTGAGACAGCTACACATCCTACCCTGCAGGTCCACTTTCCCATAATGTCCCCTGGGACCAAAAGGATGGAGTGCCCTCTTTCACAGGCTAGGTGACTCTGTGCCCATGGTATGGGCACTACTTAAAAACTGCCAGGACGAAGTGCTGGCCAGACAGCTCAGCAGACTAAAGCGCCTGCTTCGGCAGAGTGCAGGCTGGTCAGTGCCAGCCCTGCCCCCAGGGCACGCTGAGAGGGCAACTGAGACTGGGCGTAGTGGTGCACGCCTGTCATCCCAGCGCTTGAGAGGCTGAAAACAGGAGAATCACTATGAGTCCGATCTACATAGTGAGACCCTGTCCTAAATACATTAAAACAAAACAAAACAAAACAAACAAAAGCCCTGCCAGGACGAAATTACAAACCATTCCCGCAAGCTCAGGCTGTAAAGGATCTGAGCCAAGAATGCTAACTCCTTCAACAGCAATGTTCCTTCCAGCGGTGGACCCGGGAGGAACTGCTCATGCAAAGAGAGATCACCTTGTCCCCATGAACCTCCTTTATGGCATCTAAGTCGCTATAGAGCCTGGACTTTTAAGCAGCTTTCTGCGATGTCAGACTACGCAGCCCAAGAATGAGATTAGGGAAAAGAAAAAAAAAAAAAAATTAAGGGGCGGGGTATAATAGGGAGCCTGGAGCTTAAAACAATGAACCAGAAATCACCCTGGAAACTCCCCAGAACTGTAATGAGACAAGTGTGCTCCAAAGCCAGGCTTCCCAAAGTTTCTCCCTGCACCGGTGGGCTCAAGGTCTAGAGATCTCCGGGGTGGCTGGGGGGAGTCCCAGCACCTGCACCTTAAAGCTGGGGGGGGTGTGTGGAACATCCTTAGTTCGGACACCCACACAGGCAAGACAACGCCACCAAGCGCAAGCTCCTCCTCTTTAACACGCAAACTTCCAGAGAAGCCCCAGACATGTATTCCCCCCAAAACAGGTTAGGCTTGTGTCCTACCTCCCAGATGGAGGTTTTCTCTAGAGTTAGAGGAGGCTGGTGTCTGCGGGCCAGGCAGGAGCTCCGGTCCAGGAGGGGCGGCAGGAGGATGGCCCTCTTCCGCCAACCTGAAGTGGGCGTAGGCTGGATTCAGTCTCTAGCCGGCCAGAAGTGGAGATTTAACAAGCCTGCAACCCCGACTGCCCTCCCTGCAAAACTGCAGCGGAGTCCCGACGAGCGCCGGGTTCTGAGCTGCCCCTGCCCTTGCGCCCCAAGCTAGCTGATCCTTGTGGGCGAGGGCTGCACCCTGGGCCCCAGCCAGGGAACTGCCAAAACCTCCCCAGGCAGCGGGCCAGGCCTCCGTGCAGGTCTGAGTCCTGCAGCGATTTTCTGGGATCTCTGGCCTCGGAGCTCGGCCACCCTGCCGGAAGCTCCGCCTGGCGCAGGGCGCGCACGCAGCCCCGAGGCCGGCCAGGCCCTCAGCCCTTTCTCAAGGGCAGCGGCCGCCAGGACCAGGATCCCCGTTCCCGCTCGGGCCTCACCTGCGCCTCACCTGGAGCCCGGCCGCCGGCTCTCTCTCGGGGCGCCCCGGGAAGGCGGGCGCGGGGGACGCCCGGGGGGCCGTGACTCCCACCCGGGCAGGCGCCCGCCCCGGTTCCCGCTGCCCTCCGTCCCCGCCCG